TTGGGCGTTAAGATTGAATATGGTAATCGAACGTTACATGGTTTGTGTATTTAAAGTGCAATAAATGTAGATTGGTTAAGAACTAAACTGGATTAGTGGTGTCATTCTGTTTTTTTAATGTCAAGTGAAATACTTGACTGCACCATCCTAATGCAACACTTTTCTTTATACAAGTTTAACACGTTGGTGTCACTGTCAGCTGAAATTGCCAAAAATTTCCATTTTCTAAGTACATTATATTACGAGTCTACTAGTATGACAATGCCTAGTTTTTACTACCTTTTCATGTTCCTGTGATTTGTTATGACATTTTTTGGGGTGGGTGGGAGGTGACTTGTTTTGCTTGTCAAACTATTTTCACTTTCCATCCACTTGTTATTTATTGAAATATTTATTAAATTTTCAAATGAAACATTCCTCGTATTCTTAGAATGGAGTTCAACAAGTAGTCGAACGTCGGTAGATGCCAAATAGCGCCCTCTTGTAGTGTAGTAATTTTTTTTTATAAAAACAAACGGATAAATTTGCTATGGGTCGTAGTTTTCGATATGGGTTCCATGTTACATAAAACTCATTGCATACACAAAATTCGAACGTGTGGTGCGTGACGACTACCGCCCTTTACTAATAAAGAAAGTGATGTGATGTGAAATTAGTCTAAATTGCGGCATTATCAACAGAGCGGACCTCGTCGGTGTCCGGGCTGTGCAGTCTGAGCTTAGTGCCATTTCTGTGGCCTTTGCTGCAGTTTAGCAGCTCTTATTGGCTATTTTGATATTACGTCGCGCCCCGCAATGTATACCACGACCAAGAGAGCTGCATAAACTGAGCAACGGTGGCCTTTGCGTTTTTGAGTCCTCGGTTGAGTCGTGTTGAAATAGGCGGTACCAACATCTTTAACATACAAATATATGTCACATGACTGCCCCTATGGTGTGAGATATCAGTACACAAACATGTCTGATTTGTAATGGTTTATGGGTTGCTTACAAAACGAGGAACAGTGTTTACACCCGAGATGCACTTGGGACTACGTAAAGCCTTCTATGGAATGACTGGTTCCCGCGTTCATTGCAGGTGATGTTCATTGGCCATTCAATGTGCGTTATACGCCTTTGACAGCGAGTATTTTATCGTAAAATAAGAATGACTCAGTATGAGTCATCACGCATCAATATGCCAAATGAATGAAATGAGCACAGAACGCACTGTCGACCTCGGTGCCGGAAGTAATTCACTCTAGTTATATGAGCCCACTTAAGCTGGTGCAAATCATCAAAATTCAGTCGTCAATTTGCGCAATACTTTCTCACGTTTCCGGCCTCGTATGTATTTGGTTTTAATCACAGATATACGTCAGATATGATGGTGGGTGAGGACAATCTCACTAAGACAAAAGCCTTATAAATAGTGAAAAACGTGTGACATGATGAGTGTTGATGGGAATATCATTTGAAATTACGGGGACATGAAGAGTTTTTAAAATATTCGCTCATGCTCAATCAAAATGAAGCACACTCTTTCACAGCATTGTCACAGGATGGTACAGACGGTGTTTGCTTAAAAAAAACAGAAATATTGGACCTGCCCAAATTGTTAATATTCGACTTGAATTAGAATGTCCGTAGAGACAGTCAGAGCTACGTAACGATCCCCCAAATGTTGCCAGGACCAATCACAAACAGGACAAGACAATGAATTTTCGAATTAACACCTCTGTTTTCCCCCAAGCTAACGAAAAAATCTTTTGTTTCTATTGACTTCCTGTTCCGGTCCGTCTCGAAAAGCAACGTTATTTCCCCCACGCTAACTTGAAAAATCTTTTGTTTTTGTCTCGTTTCCGTTTCCGGTCTGTCTTAGAGAATCATTGTCAAGCAAATATAAGAAAGAAGTTTCAATAGTATCATCTACCGTGTTATTGGCTAAACAAATTTACATAAGTAATGAACAAGGGAAAATAAAAGGACAGGACGTTCGGCTAACTCGGTAACGACGACTCCGATTCGTGCGTACCACACAGCGATTAAATCCTATACTCTTGTGGCCATGTGTAAGTTGGTCGACATGCTCAGAATCGAGGTTCATTCATGTAATTCACAAAATTTTCAAACAGGGAATAATTTTATATGTGTAAAAAGAGTGTTAGCCACAACCACTCTTAATGTTTTTTTGTTTTCTTAAGGTAGAGATGCAGGTTCGTGGGGATTTTTCGTGAATTTTTTTTTTCTTTTTCTCACCCAGACAGTCTTGGCTGGATAGTGTTAAAATTTCGGAGCATTGTCATTGTTGGAACATACTCAAAAATCAATTTTAAAATATAGGAAACCGAGGCACGCGTATGTGATTAAAAGTCCCGAAAGTTTGTTTGCGTTGCTCTTTGATTGACAAGTCACTGTTGATGTTATATGCAAATGAGTGCTGGCCCCAGTTACGGAGCAGCCGGTGTGCGACTTCCTGTCCTGGCTCTCTGTTTACTTACCTCAAGCGCGATTAACTAGCAAACTACAAAAAATAGACAAGACGTAGACGCTTCCAGCATGCAAGCGGAGTGAAACAAAACATACACTTGTAACTGATAAGTAAAATTATAGCCTCTTTAGTAATATCTATATTTGTTGTGAATTCTAACATGGTTAAGCAAGCGGCCATGATTATGATTACTATAATTATCCGTCTGTTAAAAGGCGGTAGTCGTCACGCCGCGTCCTGTTCGATATGGGACTCATGGCGACGTATACAACGCCTGTAAAATACATTGTTTATTTACATGAAATTCGAACACGCGCTACGCTACGCTTTAACTGTCGGATGAAAGAATTACATGTGGACACCGTTGTAAATATGAATTAATCACAAAGTTATATTAAATACTGCAGTTAGTTCTCTAAGAATACAAAAAGAATAATATAAAAATATAGTAAATTTGTCAAAATTCAATAACTGGTCATGATATTTGTTGTATTCCAGTTTTAGTTGAGGGTCTTTCTCTTTCTCATGGGTTGGGTCAGAACATTTTGAATGAATGTCCAGAGAACGTTGTTCAAAGTTTTTGTACAACTTCATGGAGATTTTAATCGGCCGACTAGCGGTCAAGAAAACTAAGGCACCTCCAATGGAAAATATGCTTAATTATCTGAACGGTATAAAAAAAAGTTAAGTAAGTCGAGCGAACTTACATATTTCTGGTAATTCTCCGCGGAACAATACATTTTTACATGCGCTAATATTTTAGCGTACTAGTATATTTCATGACAAAATCTGTCTACAATTATTAACAGTATATACACTTTTTTGGTTCACTGTCAATCTGATTTTTGAAGAAGACAGTAAAATAATACGTATAAAATGCTATTTTGGTGGTGGTTTCCTTAGTAACAACACA